GGTTTGATCCTCAAACCTTAAAAACTAGGGGACTTCTGTTGCCTGAAAAATAGGGCTGACAGGTCCAGTCAGCGTGTAAAAGTCAGAGCATGGGTACACCCACAACCAAGTCACGTGAGGAAAGGGGCAGCCTGCTTTTGTCAGAGCAGTAGGTGTGCTTCAGACCAGCAGGAAGTTGTGGTGATCCCACGTGTCAAATCCCTATGCCAAATCGCGCAAATCACTCTAGAAGGTGGGTAATGTGACATAAAGAAGGATTTGCACGGATAATCCCACCAACTCACAGATTCAGTAATCATTAGCTCAATGCATCCTACTATAAATTGAGAGCTCATCTCTCATTCAAGGGATTCACTCATTTTTAATCTTGATTAGCTCTCTCTCTCTATAATTTATAGCATTCACTCACTTATACTATCATTTGTAAGTTAGTCAGCTAATGAGATCTGACCCCTATCATTAATAAATAACAGTGGACGTATGACTTGCTTCCTTAGCATCCGAACCACTTTAAAAATACTTTTCTCATTATTTATTATCTCTTTTTCTTACATTCACGTATGTCTTCTGAGTCGCTCAGCATTTCACACGTGCGATTCATTGGTGTAAAAATCACGCATCAAACAATAGCCATGTTTTCCGCAATATTTATCTAGTGTACATGCATATGGATGGGTGTCTACCTGAGCTAAAGGAAGACAAATTAGTAATGTTGACATTCTGTTGATTGGATTATTGAATTCTCAGAATGCTATTGTCCAGGCAGATCTGGTTACTTCCTTTACTAGTCCGAATGTTTTTTATTGACCATGAATCTTTACTTTTGTTGGCTTTCTTACCGTCATCTTATTGAACTTTTATTAGATACAAATGATCTGGGATCCCAGCAACAAATTGAGATGGTGGGAGTTCAGAAGAGCGTTTGGCTGGTCATGCTTTCCATATGTATCACCTCACCTCACCCGACCAAACGTACTAACAAGCATCCTTCTCTTTTTCTTTCTTTTTATTGGCCAGGTATATAAATTCGTCACTCTGATCTTAACTGAGCATCAGCTGACATGTCTCCTCTCTTTTGCAGATTTCTTTCGAGTTTCAGCATCATGTTTTGGTAGTAATCAATATAGCCGAGGGTACTATTGGTGCTGTAATTTTCTTTTCTAAAAAGGTACTAATACTTCCATTCATTGCCTATTTTATACTGAATTTCTTTCACATGATGTTATGTACACATTATAACATATTTTTATTCTTTGATAAAACATATGAATCAAAATTTCTTATAAAGATCGGTGTTCTTGTGGGAGTTCCTAATTTTCACCAGTATGATCTTGAGTTTTTAAGGATGATTAGTGTGACGATGCCGTAATTACTATTGATTTTTAATCGTCATGTAAAATCAGGCTCAGCCGCAGGCTGACAAGCGGTAGGAGGCAACATGCAATAAAAATTTGTCTTTCATTTGTTGTTATTAGTATATATTCAGCTCAAGATGCCAGAAATATTATGGACATATTGAAGGGGATTTTGAATAAATGTTTTGCCCTTGAAAGTACATTTTTTATTATTATTGTTCTTCTTGTTGTCGTTGTTATATTATTCATTTATTTATTTATTTTAGCATATCAGAGGTATGAATTAGTTTACATAGGTAGTGGATGATTGACGACTGTGCGTGAGCGAGAGTGCGAGACAGTGTGTTCGTGTAACGAATCGTGTTCCAGTCGAGCGAGAGAGATGCTGGATTGCTGGGTGTTTACTGTTTAGGCCTTTAGGGTTCGTGACTTCTGTTGTTCGAGTCTGAGACACAGAGACAGAGAGTCAGAGTAGTGAGACTGTGTTGTTAGTGTTAGTGTCTTAGTGCGTTACTGTGTTAGCAGTGTTAGGGGGTGCATTTAATTTTGAAAAGCAGTGTTAGGGGGTGAATTTAATTTTGAAAAGCAGTGTTAGGGGGTGAATTTAATTTTGAAAACCCAAAACGACGTAGTTTAGCAAAATCCGGATCGGATACGGATATCCAATTTTTTTATTATCCCGATCCGGTATCTGATCCGAATATTCGGATTTTGCCAAATTCTGATCCGTATCCGATCCGAATTTTCGGATATCCGAATTTTCCGGAGCGGAGCGGATTAGGATCGGATATCGGATATCGGATTTTTTTACACAGCCCGCGGCCCAAACTGCCTCGCGAAAACCCCGCCCCATGCCGTCCCCAACCCGCCCCCAAAAATTGCAGCCCAACAGCTTCTTTTATACAATAATGTAATATTATTATTATATATCTTAATGAAATATAAAATAGGTCTTATATTTAGTATTCCAATACATATACATGCAATTTAGTCATTTCATCTTATATTAGATTAATAAATATTATTAATCTAAGACTGTTTATATAATTTAGATATCATCTCATCATTTAATTATTAATTTGAATGAAAGTAATACGACTTAAAAGTCTAAGTATCTTCTACAATGCTTCACAGTATTAAATTACATCATTTATTATCTTTAACTAAATGTGAACAGGATATATTTCAAAATTTTATAAATTATCAAAAATACAATTCAGCTTATTTTAAATAATATGAATAATTATGTAATATAATTTTTTAAATTTAGAATTTATTTTACCATATTAGATCCAAAGAGGGGCAATAAATCAAAATCTGGTTTAATCATATTGTTATATTAATTTTTTTAACTATGTTTAATAGTTTACAAATTACATTGACTTGTTTAATCATATTGTTATGTTCATGATGTTGAATTGTTGAATTATTGTACTATTACATAAACTAAGGTAATTGAGTTTCTCTTCTAAGTAAATTATCTAAACATTAGGAACATTTTAGGAGAAATCTATATTAGAAAAATAAATATCAAATTGCACAAATTTTGTTATCTTTCTAATAAATAAATAAATTATTTATTAATATTATTTTATTTTACACAAATTCGATTATCATGTCTTTTTAATCAATTAATTAGTCATAAATTTTATTAACATTGTTTTATTTTTATTCAATGGTTTACTAAGACCTGATGCAACGATGGATGATGTATCAATCTTGATTTTTATTTTTATTAATTAGTCATAAATTACATTAATAGTTTCTCATTCCTTAAATCTTTTTCATTAAAAAGTAATTAAATCAAATAATTGATTATGATTTATGAGTTATCAAATATCAATCTTGATATTTAATTTTGATATTCTACATAATATTTTAAAATTTAGTCAATTAATTCAATACAATTTAATTATTTAATAATCTAATCACATTGTAATTACATAATTAATTACAATTTTATTAAGTAATTAATTAATCCCTTAAAGATTTGTAAATTTATTGTACTATAACATAAACTAAGGTAACTGAATTTCTCTTCTAAGTAAATTATCTAAATTTGGGGAACATTTTAGGAGAATTATACAAAATCAATATTAAAAAAAAAAAAAAAAGTTTAAAATAATTTTCATTAGCCATTCGGGGAAAATTCCCAGACGAGGATTGCTCCCGTTGGGGGAAAATCCCCATAAGGATTAATACCCGCAATTCCGAGGATGGACACCATCCCATCCCCATGAGGCGAGATTGGGGATTCCCCGATATCCTCGTCCCAGGGATGGGTGAACCCCCCAATAGAGGTAGAACAAATGGGTCGGGTTAGGCGGATCAACCCTAACCCAGGCGGGCCAGGTTAAACCCAACCCGCATGCAACCTAGGGGCGGGCCGGGTTGCTATATGGCAACCCGCCAACCCGGCGGGTTGCTATTTGTTTACAATAGCCAACCCTGCGGGTTGGCCCAAAAAAATAAAAATAAAATAAAAACTTAATTATTTTTTTCAAGTTTCCCCCATTTTTTTAATTCTTTTAATTAAACTATTATGATTGAACTCTTACAAATAATTTTACACAATAATATTAAACTATACTTCTAAATCATAAATATTAAAATGTATAAAACTTCATAATATTTGACACATTGTTATTATTATTTTTTATGGTACGTAAAATATAAAAAAATTAAATACTGAAGTCTTATTCTTAAATTTCCATGTATTGTATAAAATATAATTCATTCTTATGCTAAAGTTTCATCAATTGAATGAATAAATCTAATTTTTCTTATATTACAATTTTATTGTATTAAAATTGAATTAATATTTGAAATGTTAATAAAAAAAAATTTAATTTAATTGAATTATTGATATTTGAAAAGTTAACTAAAAGCAATTACGTTTATTTATTTATAAATCGTTAATTATTTATTTGAAAAGTTAACTAAAAAAATAAAAAAATAGGGTTAACCCGGTCCGACCCGTAGCCTAACCCGGCGGGTTAGGGTTGGCGGGCCGGGTTGGGCTAGCCATTACCCCAAAAATTGCGGGCTTAACCCGGCCTGCCTTTGTTGGCGGGCGGGTTAAGACCAACCCGCCAAAAGAAGTAACCCGCCGCAGGCCGGGTCGAGTCAAGCCGGACAGGTTACTTTTCCACCTCTACCTCCCAAAGAGTCGGGTATGGGTACGGGGACCCCAAATCCCCAGCCTCGCCTTGCCCCACACCCATCCCTAAACTATAGGGACCAAAGTGTTACAAATTTTTTTTATAAGAATTAAGCCAAATATTAGGGACGAACCTGTTATTATCCCATTTTCCTGTGTGAAAAAGAAAACCGTTAGATGCTCTGCACTTTCACTAAACCGTGAGCGGGAAATAGTTATTCTCCCCTCGAACATCCACATAATGTTTCCAGACAATTTTGACAGCTCCCTCTAGTTGACTCACAAGCCAATTATGAGTCAACTATGGCGGCCACAACCTTTGCACACAGTCTCTCTACCGCTCATTAGTCAACCTTATTTAACTTTTAATGTTATTTTTTATTTAATTAATTATTTTAACCATCTTCTTTTCACAAATTCAGTTTCTTAATTTCTTTCTCATCCTTCTAAGCATTTTCATTTAGCATTACTACAAAGAAGAAGAAATGGCGGAAGTAATTCTGTTTGATGCTGCAGGCAAAATCTTGGAAGTCTTGGGGTCGCTGGTTGCCAAAGAAATCGGTTTGGCTAGCGGCGTTAAGGATGAGATTCGCCAACTCATTGATACTGTCCGCACTGTTAAAGATATTCTTCACGATGCCGAGGAGCAGCATAGCAAAAAGAATGAAGAGGTGGCGGTTTGGCTTCAAAGGCTCAAAGATGCGCTTTATGATGCAGATGACTTGTTGGATGATTACTACACTGAATTTCAACAATTGAGAGAGGCGATGAATAGGAATACATTAGCGAAAGAGGTGCGTATTTTCTTTTCCAAATCTAATCAGATTGCATTTAGTATTAGTATGGCTCATAAAATTAAAGCTATTAAGAAAAAACTAGAGGCGGTTTTTAATGCAAGGCCGATTTACCTCGTTGAGCAGCTTCCTGATAAAAACCGAGTGGAGAATGTAGAAAGAGAAACACACTCTTTTGTGCATGCTGATAAGGTTTTTTGGAGAGACGAGGATAAAAATAATGTGATACGACTTTTGTTGGACTCGGATGGTCGTGAAAATGTTTTGGTGATTTCCATATTTGGACTTGGGGGCTTAGGAAAGACTACACTTGCTCAACTTGTTTACAATGATCAGAATATCATAAACCATTTCAAATTAAGGATGTGGGTATGTGTGTGTGAGGACTTTAATTTGAAAATAATTATGGAAAAGATCATAAAATCTGCGACTCGTAAGGAAATTGAAAAGCTTGAAATTGATCAATTGCAAGAATGCCTTCGCAAAGAAATTAATGGGAAAAAATATTTATTAGTTTTGGATGATATATGGAATGAGAATCCTGGTATGTGGGACAAATTAAAAAATTTGTTAGTGAATGGAGCGAGAGGAAGTAAGATACTGGTGACTACACGCAGTGAAAAAATTGCTAAGATTACTAGCAAATTTTCTTCATATGTCTATCCTTTGAGAGATCTAGATGAAAACAAGTCTTGGTCTTTGTTTCTGCAAATAGCCTTTGAACATGGGATAGAGCCAAAAGATTCAAAACTAGTGACGTTTGCAAGAGAGATTGTAGCAAAGTGTGGAGGAGTTCCTCTTGTCAGAATAACAATAGGACACTTACTCTATGGGAATAATAACAGAGATCATTGGCTGCATTTCAGGGATAATAAAATGACGAGTATAATTAAAAACGAAAGCGACATTTTACCTGTATTGAAGCTTAGTTATGATCATCTTCCTTTACACTTGAAACAATGTTTCGTCTATTGTGCATTGTTTCCCAAAGGTTACAAGATTGAGAAGCAAAAGTTGGTTTACCTTTGGATGGCCCAAGGTTTTCTTCAAGCATCAAATGAGAACCGATGTTTAGAAGATGTGGGTCATAAGTATTTTATGAATTTACTTTCAAGGTCGTTTTTCCAAGATCCAGAATATGATAAATTGGACAATGTAGTTGCATGCAAAATGCATGATCTTATCCATGACCTCGCTCAATCAATCGCGGGGTTTGAATGCATTGTGGCAACTTTAGACACAACCAACAGATTTGATAAAAGATGTCGCCATGTTTCACTTCATAGTACAGTAGATTCATCATGGAAATTTCAAACTGTAGTGCATGGTGTAACACATGTAAGAACTTTACTTTTATTTGAATCAAATGCTTTTCTTGAACTTGATGGTGATTTTGAATTCTCATCAAGTTCTATGTCCTTGCGCGCTTTGGATTTTGGAGAGTTGGAGTTTAAGAAGTTGCCAAGATCGATTGATAAATTGAAGCCTCTACGATATCTCAATATTTCTTATAATGGTTATATTGTAGCACTTCCTAATTCAATGTCGAGACTATGGAATTTAGAAACATTAGACCTCTCTAACTATTTAGAGCTTAAGGAACTACCAAGAGATATTAGAAAACTGGTGAACCTTAGGCATCTTACAAATGAAGAATGTGATTTTTTAGTTGGAATGCCATATGGACTAGGGCTTTTGACTAATCTTCGGACTCTATGGAATTTAGAAACATTATTACAGATGCGGTATCCGGAAATGGAACGATTAGCCTATGCCTTGTTGATCACTTCCAGAAAGTTGCGACCTTACTTCCCCGCTCATACAATTCATGTAATGACTAATTACCCGCTCAGGCAGGTCCTCCAAAAGCCAGAGGCATTAGGTAAATTGCTTAAATGGGCCACGGAATTGAGTCAGTTCAATCTGAAGTACAAGCCAAGATCGACTATCAAAGGGCAGGCTGTTGTTGACTTCATTTCAGAATTCTCCTATCTTCCAAGTGAGTCGGAGCAACAGCCCAGCGAAGCCATCCACGAAACTGCTAAGAATCTATTAACCTGGAGCCTCTACGTCGATGGATCATCGAACAGAAAGAGGGTTGGTGCAAGTCTTCTCCTTTTGAGTCCCGAAGGGGCTCGCATTCACGGCATTCTCCGGTTCGATTTAAGGCAATCAACAATGAGGCCGAGTATGAAGCTCTTCTCGCTGGATTATGGTTGGCCAGAGAAATGGGCGCAACTGCGATCAGCATCAATAGCGACTCCATGCTGGTCGTCAACCAGATCTTAGGAGAGTACCAAGCCAAGGAAGAAAATATGATCCGCTATCTGAAAGAAGCTAAGGCCGCACTCGAGCCGTTCAAGCACTTCGCGATCACTAGGATTCCCAGAGATAGCAACTCTGTGGCAGACGCCCTGACAAGGATAGCCTTATCGTTGGACTCAGAAGCATCGGATAACATTCCTGTTCGATTCATTGAGGCCCCTAATATCAGCCCGATCGAACAGGCCGTGAATGTAACAAAATCGGATTCCTGGATGACTCCCATTTTCCAATACCTCAAGGATAGGACCTTGCCTAACAACAAGGTCGAGGCAAGGGTTCTGCGAACGAGATCTGCTTGTTACACCCTCATCGGGGACCAGCTGTACAGGCGAGGGTTTAGCGCCCTTCTCCTCCAATGTGTAACCAACGAAGAAGCAGATTACATCATGAGGGAAATACATGAAGGGATCTGCAGTAATCACACCGCCGCACGATCTCTTGCGAACAAGGTTGTTCGTCAAAGGTATTATTGGCCCCGAATCCAAGAAGACACCTACAACTTTGTCAAGAGGTGTGACAAGCGTCGGCGGTTTGCAAACATACCGCGAGCTCCTTCCCACGAGCTAAAAACAATGACTAGCCCCTAGCCATTTTCCATGTAGGGAATCGATCTCATCGGTCCCATGCCAGTTGGTAAAGGGGGAGTCAAATATACCGTGGTCGCGGTAGATTACTTCACCAAATGGGTGGAAGCCGAGCTGCTAGCCGCGATCATGACCAAGAAACTCAAAGACTTCGTTTTCAAGAATATTGTGTGCCACTACGAAATTCCTCATACCCTCATCTCAGATAACAGAAAATAGTTCTACAACGAGGAATTTAAGCAATTTTGCGACGAGCTAGGCATCCATAAAAAATTTGCCTCAGTCGCAAGATCGCAAGCAAATGGTCAAGTTGAAGCTATCGACGAAACCATCAAGCATACTCTAAAAGCCAAACTTGGTAAAGCCAAAGGAAATTGGGCCGACGACCTCCCCGAGGTCCTATGGGCGTACATGACAACTCCTAGAATCTCTACCTGAGAAACCCCTTTTTCGCTAGCATACGGTTGCGAAGCGATGATCCCTGTGAATGTAGGAACTGGTTCACTTCGGAGGGACTTGTACAATGAAGCCGACAACAAAGCACTTATGAGAGCAAGTCTGGACCTTGTTGAAGAACATCGCAGCAAGGCTTCGCTAAGAATAGCAGCCTATCAGCAACGCGCAAAGAGGTTCTTCGATTCTAAGGTCAGGCGAAGAGACTTCCAAGTCGGTGAACTTGTATTAAAGGAAGTTCTTCTCGGTACTAGGAAACCAAGTGCGGGAGTGTTGGGACCGAACTAGGAAGGTCCATACCGCATCGACAAGGTGAAAAGACCGGGGACTTATCATCTCAAAAGGCTGAATGGTTCCAAAGTACCCCGAGCTTGGAATGATGAGCATCTTCGACCTTATTATCAGTAATTCCGAACTCAGTTTTCCTTGTAAATTAATTTTTGATCTTTGTAAATTATTTCCTTGTAAAGTATTATTCTGTTCGCTTGTAGCAGTCTTCGCATGTAATCTTGTTCGTATAAATGTGTTATCATGTTCGCATAGACTTGTTCCAATATTGTAGACAAAATGTAAATTCATGTATAATAAAGCGAACAGAAATTGTAAAAGCAAAATGTATTTCATTAATGCGAAGAGTACAACAGGCAAAACAGTAAAACTGTTAGCCCTAATCTAACTCTTGGAGGACCGACCTCATCATCCTAAGCCTAGTCGGCTGGGGGCTTCTCTGAGGCGTGTCCCAAACCCTCTGTCTGATCGAATTTTTGGGCGATCGCCACTTCATCATCCTGCTGCGCGATGGACATGAGAATTTCCCGCCAGTCCTCTGGGAGGTCGGATATATCAATGCACGGATTCTTCAGCTGCAAGGCATAGATAGACTCGATTGCCCATTCGGCAGCCTTCTCATCGACCTCCGTTGCCTGATTCTGCATCTCTTTGGTCAGGGAAGTAACTTTTCCCTGACTTGCTTGGAGCTTGGCCTCAAGAGCTTGCCTTTGCTCATCGAAGGCATCCCTCTCTTGTTCTGCTCGCCAAGCCCGCAAAAAGGTCGCTTTGAGCTCCTGGTTCTTCTCTCCGACCTCCTTGGAGAGTTTGGCTATGGTCCTTTGAAGCTCTTTTATTTCCTCCCCATGCTTCTCGAGCTCGGTTTTTTGGAAGTCCACCATGCAAAGAGCCACGTCCCTTTTGCTCAGGTACTGGTTCGCAGACTCAGAAGATAGGTTTCTTTCTGCTTCAGCGGCTTCCAGGCCTCACTTGAGCTATGCGTTCTCTTCCTTCAGTGCGACCTCCCCCTTTGCAGCTCCCAGCCAAACCTTCTCCAGGGACAGTTGCATGGAAAGCAGGGCTTACGAATAAGAAAAATAGCAAGTTAGTTTATTCATAAACTAAGGAAGTCCTCGCCGAGGACAATTCGTTTACCTTGCTCAAGTGCTGGAGCGATGTGCACATCAGGTCCACGTCGCTGGAACCTACGAACTGATTGAATGATTCCGAGAGTCCGCACTCCAGCAAAGTGTAGACTATCAGCTGTAGGTACTCCGGCAGGTTCCCCAGCGAGTCCAACACTGGAGTTTCCTTCTTCGCGCTTTCAGCAGGGGTCTTGTCGCCCGTCGGTTCCTTACCCGACTTCCTCTCGACGTCTGGCTGCGACCTCCCAGGTTGATTGCCCTCGGATTAGGTCTTTGACTCTACGACCTGAATTTGCCTTCTCTTCTTCTTAGCTCACTAAGCCGTTGACTTTAGCCTCGGGCAAACAGCCGATGGCTGGGAAGCCTTCGCAGGTCAGATTGGTATGTCCTCTGAAGGTTGATCTTGAGAAGTTCCAGCAAGTCACATCGGGGGGCCCAATGTGGCGCCTTTAGCCGGGTGAACGGTAGGAGCACATCGGCCGCCTTGGCAGTCTTTTCTCGCGAAAAATTGAATTGCCTTCGTAGCGGCGACTCTGACTCCTTCGAAGGCATGGTCGCTGCATGCGAGCTTCGTTAGCAAAAATACTTCATTGCATGACCAGCGGTTAGCAAGACTTACGCAATGGGGGCTCTAAGGACGCTCTTGCGTTGAAGAAACCGTATTTTTGTAGATTCGCAGTCGTCACGTGCTTCTTTGCGTCGCGACTAGCTTCGGCCAAGAAGCCGAAAGCTAAGAAACAGGTCGTTAGGAAAAGGATGCACTTCAAATTTAGTAAATTCGCTAAGGGAAAGGAACCTACTCGGGTCTTGAAAACGGCATTGGCTGTCGTAACGAAAGAAGAAAAACTTCGTTTCGTAGGCCCCCGCATTGCTAGGGTAACTGTGTATCCCCGCTTCTATAGTGGGTCGCCTGGACAAGTAATAAGAATCATTGTCCTTGCTCTTTTTCAAGTAATACGAGCAGTCGAGCTCCACCGCGGTTAGCTCGCCCAACCCGTTCTCACGACACGTGATGTACATGGCAACATCAATAATATACGCGTTCGGAGTGAGTTGCATCGGTGCAATCCTGAAGTGATCCAGCAACGACCTGACAAAAGGGTGGAAGGGGATCAACCACCCACCCTTGAAGATCTCCTCGGAGATCGCGGCCATCCCGCTTGACGGGTATCGCGATGAGTGAGTCCTATCGTGAAAAACTTCCACATCGACACCATACTGCTTTGTCACTCTCTCGAGCTCTTCCCTGGTGAGTACCGAGTAGACCTCAAGAGTGGCACTCGGAGCATCCTGCGAGGACAAACCGGTTCTTTCCTCGGATCTGGTCATTGAGGGGTCCATTCTATTGGTCTGCAAAAGCGACAAGCAGGAGGGTCATTGAGCCATCATACACAGTTCCGTACGATGACGTGGAAGGAAACAAACTTCCTAAAACCCAGAGAAAACCCTAACAGCATGATTCGAGCCGCCATTCATGGCTCGAACCTGACATGAGCGTCACGTCTCCAATGAGTTATTGGAAGACTAACGCCATTTACCAACTATGGAGAATAAGAAAACAAAAACAGGGAAAGATTCTTACCTCTCGGAGTACGAAAATAGCTTCTGCTTCAAATATCAGAAAAACGCTGGTTTGGAAGACAAAGGTTCCAAGCTTGCGAAAATCTCTTGCTCTCTGTGAAAAATACGAGTGTGGTGACATTACCTGAGAAAGATCTGAGTTTTTATAGCGCATGAAACGACGCTTGTTTTTCTTGGAATCAAATCGACGTTTGGGCTGCAAATTTTCTCACCGTTGATCACGACCACGTGTCGCAGACCAGTGAGGAAGAGTGAGCGTCACGATTAAAGAAAAATCAAATCTTCATCTTTTTCGTTGAAAAACTCAAGCGACGGCTCTCTCTCTCTTTCTCTCTCTTAGCATTAATTGCGCCCCAATCTGCATTTAATGCTGTGATAAGGGTTATCGTTTCAGCATGTCACACATTTAATGTTCTGATAAAGTGGTACCGTGTCAGCATACAACGCATTTAATGCGCCTGGTTGGCACTTATCACGCACATGACAGGTTTGTCAGCGCAGAGAATGATTCATTAAATGCTCCCATACCCAAAGTACAATAGATAACTCCTCACGAAGTCAGGTCGCCCGTCTTTAATAAGCGATGACCATGCGAGATCGTGTTAGCCAAAAGTGCTACCCAGAATTTCTAGAAATCATCCAATCGCGGCATGACATAGTTTCCAAGGTTTGATCCTCAAACCTTAAAAACTAGGGGACTTCTGTTATGCCTGAAAAATATAGGGCTGACGTAAGGTCCAGTCAGCGTGTAAAAGTCAGAGCATGGGTACACCCACAACCAAGTCACGTGAGGAAAGGGGCAGCCTGCTTTTGTCAGAGCAGTAGGTGTGCTTCAGACCAGCAGGAAGTTGTGGTGATCCCACGTGTCAAATCCCTATGCCAAATCGCGCAAATCACTCTAGAAGGTGGGTAATGTGACATAAAGAAGGATTTGCACGGATAATCCCACCAACTCACAGATTCAGTAATCATTAGCTCAATGCATCCTACTATAAATTGAGAGCTCATCTCTCATTCAAGGGATTCACTCATTTTTAATCTTGATTAGCTACTCTCTCTCTATAATTTATAGCATTCACTCACTTATACTATCATTTGTAAGTTAGTCAGCTAATGAGATCTGACCCCTATCATTAATAAAATAACAGTGGACGTATGACTTGCTTCCTTAGCATCCGAACCACTTTAAAAATACTTTTCTCATTATATTTATTCTCTTTTTCTTACATTCACGTATGTCTTCTGAGTCTGCTCAGCATTTCACACGTGCGATTCATTGGTGTAAAAATCACGCATCAAACAATAGCCATGTTTTCCGCAATATTTATCTAGTGTACATGCATATGGATGGGTGTCTACCTGAGCTAAAGGAAGACAAATTAGTAATGTTGACATTCTGTTGATTGGATTATTGAATTCTCAGAATGCTATTGTCCAGGCAGATCTGGTTACTTCCATTTACTAGTCCGAATGTTATTTTATTGACCATGAATCTTTACTTTTGTTGGCTTTCTTAGTCCGTCATCTTATTGAACTTTTATTAGATACAAATGATCTGGGATCCCAAGCAACAAATTGAGATGGTGGGAGTTCCAGAAGAGCGTTTGGCTGGTCATGCTTTCCATATGTATCACCTCACCTCACCCGACCAAACGTACTAACAAGCATCCTTCTCTTTTTCTTTTCTTTTTATTGGCCAGGTATATAAATTCGTCACTCTGATCTTAACTGAGCATCAGCTGACTATGTCTCCTCTCTTTTGCAGAGTTTCTTTCGAGTTTCAGCATCATGTTTGTGGTAGATCAATATATGCCGAGGGTACTATTGGTGCTGTAATTTTCCTTTCTAAAAAGGTACTAATACTTCCATTCATTGCCTATTTTATACTGAATTTTCTTTCACATGATGTTATGTACACATTATAACATATTTTTATTCTTTGATAAAACATATGAATCAAAATTTCTTATAAAGATCGGTGTTCCTTGTGGGAGTTCCTAATTTTCAACCAGTATGATCTTGAGTTTTTAAGGATGGATTAGTGTGACGATGCCGTAATTACTATTTTGATTTTTAATCGTCATGTAAAATCAGGCTCAGCCGCAGGCTGACAAGCGGTAGGAGGCAAACATGCAATAAAAATTTTGCTTTCATTTGTTTGTATTAGTATATAATTCAGCTCAAGATGCCCAGAAATATTATGGACATATTGAAGGGGATTTTGAATAAATGTTTTGCCCTTGAAAGTACATTTTTTATTATTATTGTTCTTCTTGTTGTCGTTGTTATATTATTCATTTATTTATTTTAGCATATCAGGAGGTATGAATTATGTATTACATGAGGTATTGGGATGTATTGGAATTTCATTTGTCTAGGGTCAAGTTTAGCATTTAAAAGAATGAACCACATCTTAAGAGAATAGGCCTCATTGTTTGGTGTCCTTTCACTGTCCTCTTGCTTCTTAACATTGATATTGAAAGGATTTTAAATAATAATTGCCTTATTATCTCAATGATGCGAAGAATTTCCAATGAAGATTTTAAGCAGTTCGCTATGATATGGAAGGCTTCCTTTTCCCCTAAAATTAAATTCCAATACAGCAGATTTACCCAGCCTTGAATTGGTCCACTTCATGGCTCACGGTGTTTAAGTAAGAAGAGACAGCTGACCATCTCTTCCTCCATTGCATTGTGGCTTCTTTTTTATGGTCCAGAGCTTGCAGAGAAGCCAACATTTAGTGGGCTATTTTGAGAACCATTCAAGAACTTGTTCTTCCCTTCTACTGAAAATTTATGCACATTTGGTAAAAGTAAAGAAAACCGAGACGCTATGGGATTGTGTGGTGTTAGCTAGCGTGAAAGAAAAATAAAGTTTCTCAAGAGGCTATATGAGAGGATTCTAGTGTATTGTGGGACAAAGTGTATTTTTTTGCATTACTTTGGGCCTTCGTTTCAAAAGACTTCCAAGAAAATTTGTTCTTCTTTATTCATCTCAACTAGGATGGGGTTTTGCGTTGATTTAGTCTTGGTTTTTGATCTAGTTTTTGGTCTGTTTTCTCTGTATAGCTGAACCTATACAGATTTTTTGATGATTTCTTTGTATATTCCCCCCTTCTCTTTAGGCGAACTGGCGTCTTCAGTTGATACCTGATCTGCTAGTGAATTTCTCTTGTTCCTTCATAAATACAATACAATCTTTTCTGTTTCATATAGGAAAAAGAAAATTATCTCAATGACATTTTAGTTTCTTTATTCTGTTTGCCTACACAAAGATGATGAACTTTTTGTAACTATTTAGAAAAATTACCATTTCAGTTTAACACTTAGCAACCAATTTAGAGGGCTTTCCTGATCATTTACTCAACTAGCATGGTTACATTTTCAGATTAAAAACACCCTCAAATTGTTAATGCTTAGAAGCAGCTAGTGCTTTACACAAATTTTACACTTCAAAACCTTTTTCAATGTGAATTAAGTCTTGGATTGACAAAGTTTCTTGAAATTCACCAAAAGATCCATGAAACATTGAGAAAGAACATTGAAACAAAATTACTTGAGAGCCTTCTGTATATCTGAACAGTTACAAATTTTTTTGCCTCATTACCTTCTTTATTGTTTCTTCTTAGCATGTGTGACTGAATATTTCAACCTTTATGCTGTATGTACTTTTGTCCAATTTTGCATGCCTCTATTTATTGCCTTATAACTGGTGGAAGAGCTGGTATAGATTTGTTTTTGTTGTATTTTGACTATTGGTGGGATTAGATTTAAATATTTCTTACTTTTGTAGATTTACTAAAAATTTCATGCATATAAAATAATATAAATGTATAAGATATATGATGTTGAAGTGCTTGCTCACCTATTTGTCTGCCGAGCAAGAACTGCCGTGATTAACATGCTGCTCCTCTGCTTTTCACTATACTATGTATGCTAAAAAGCAATCGGCTTCTGTTTTGTTTGATGTTTCATTCGACTATTTCACAACGTTTTAGGCACATTATATAGCTTTTTAGCTTATAGTGGTTGATAGATGATATTGTATGCAATAATCTTTTCAACTCAGGTTCATGAAATTGCAATGGTGTCAGCAATTTAAGAAGCTCAGAAGAATAACCTTAGAAGTTTCAATGATTACATGATGAAAGTTTTGGAGGTTGGTGTAACATGATAAGCTTTTAGATTATCATTATAACTTTGTTTGTCATTCTCTCTTCACACACACTGATACAACTATTATTTTCTATTATTGGAAAATGTTACTTTTCTTATATATTTGCTTAGAAACTGATGAAATTAGAATAATGACCAATAAAAACAAGTACTTTGTTTACTTTACCCATTGTAGCTTCTTGCCTCTCTGTTTATGGAGCAACATTTAGTTGCATTCCCTCAATCAATTGTTTACTTAATATTTTCTGCCGTTGCTGTGTGTATATACATGTTCATGTCGATTAATTGATATTTTTATTTTAAAATTTAAATTTAAATTTTTTCATTAGCATTTATGTTTAATTTAAGATAATTCCAATTGAATAGACGCAGGTCAGGACATTTGTTCTTGGGTTACTCTAATTGAAGCCATGTAAGTTACAATTACAGTTTCAGCGGGTGATTTTGTATTTTGTTTAGAGTTCTTTGTAAATAGCATTTGCAAATATTATGGAAAAGGTTATATCCTTCAAACTGGTATGCTTCATAATTTTTTGCTGTCCCCATGACAAGAAGTCTATTGATTAATTTGTTATTGTTCACTGTCCAGTTATGTGGGAACTAATTCCCCTTGATCTAGAGTGTTGATAATAACTATTAAATCTGGATGGTAGCTGTGGGAAATTTCTACCCTTCTTGTGCATTTACTTCTTATTGATAGTTGGAATCTGTTGTTTGGCAGGAAGACTGGCAAAAACAAGAAGGTGATTTCTTTAGCGCTTGAGTCGAATTTCAACATTACCCAAGACTAACGTGACTGATACAAGCACAGGTGGAACTCTTTCGGGTCAAATAGTGTCCATGACTTCTAGTCCACAGATTTCCTCTGGACCGTCTAGCATGGAGCTTGTACCCTTAGCTAACAAGCCTGTCCTTGAGAAAAAAGCAACAGTTTGTGCTGAACAATGCGAGAGACTGAGGAGTACCATTTAAAGTAAGACTGGTTTGTTATTTATACTGAAAGTACTTACTGGTTTTGAAAGATAACTAAGCTTGAGTGGCATGTTTACATATATGTTATTTATTTGATAATCAATTGACTGTTAGAGAAATATATATGCTATCATCTTGACGGTAATCACAAGTGAAGCTGGCATTGTATCTGTTCTTTACTCAATATACATGCCGGTTCTATGACATTGTAATACATTATGCTTATTATTGTTATTTTTTATTTCCAGTGTTAAATTATTTGTTAGAATCTATTTATCTCTATATTAACTACAGTCTATGTTCGAGTCATTTTTATAAACAAAAACTCTGTACAATCTATAATTTGAATACTTAGCTAAGTAATTGTCAATGATAAAAATGCCACAAGTTTTATATTTTGGGCCAAAACTTCATTAAGAAAGCTTCAAGTCTATTATCGCCCTGCTCCTTGTTCATTGATTGGCATCAGTTGTGTTTACTGTTTCAGATGAAAACCATTACAAAACTTGTAGAGAAATTAGCAGCGATGAAGTCTATTTGGCTGACCAAGATGATGATGAGGAAGATTAATTTATGGGTTCTGTATCCAAGTTACAACTCAGGTGAAAAAAAATTATTCTTCAGTAAAATTTAGTGTTGGAGCCAATCTGATTGCTTTGATGCAATTTATTTCCAGGAAAGATATTTCTAAGGCTCGTTGGAACGATGAATTAGGGATGGCTGAGGTTGTGGAAAAGAAGGGTAAGGTGGTGGACAACAGCAGCAAGACGTTTTGCTCAATTGAGGAGACTTCGTAGGTCAAACTCTTGTTATTGTTTGCTTGCAAGTTAGTGTTACAAGTTTGCTTTATAGATTGTATATGTGGTCATGGCTACAAAAAATTCAATGTTACCTGTTGGTTGATTAGCAATTTTAGAACAACGGAAAAAGGCTTATTAGAATGTAGCGAAATGTTCTTTAGAAGCAGTTTTCAAATGAAAACTCTTTTGTAAACTGTAAAGTTTTTTTTTTTTTTTTAAACAGGAAATGTAAATAGTACTTAAAAGTGCTTTTTTGCAAAATCCTATTTTTCTAAAAGACTATTTGAGAACTTAAAAAAACATATTTTCTTGCAAAAAAATTAAGAAGTATACTAAATGCTCCTATGTTATACTATAAATTGGTCACAGGAGCTCTTTGAACAAAAAGTCTTCCAATAGATATAGGTGAATGGTAGCATAATTTAGTAATAAACAATGAAAAAGTTAATTTGTATGGAATAATTTAGAATCAAAAGTAGTAATTACAGTTGATGCCTTTTCCTTGCCATATTAGGTATTCAAGTTGGTTGAATAAATTTTTTAACTCTTTTCTTGTAGGTTTCTGGTTGAAGTTAGGGCATTACTTCTGTTGGATGATAAAGATTCTAGTCTTCCTTCAAAATATATATATATATATATATATATATATGCGAAGGTTGCAGAGGAGAAGACTGGATGTTCTTTTTTGATGTTTATAGGTACCTAAAATCTCTTGGTTACATAGTGGGGCGGCATGGTGTACCTTGGACTATGAAGATTACCGAAAAAATGTTGACTTCATCAGTGAATCTCAAAAAAGAAATGAAAATATGGATCTGGAATCAAAGAAAGACAGTTTTATTATTGATTTATTAAATAATGATACATGCTAGAAAAGATAGAAATTAGAAACATGATAAATTAAGTAAAACTTACGATTTGTTGAGTAGAGAAAGAAACAGAAAGTTATATCTAGCAAAGAAGAGAAATAAATGATAAAGAATAGCACAGCGCTAGAAGGATTTAGAAAGACTTGAGAAAAATAGAAGACTGCTAAGTAGTACGTCTGAGAATAAAGAGAGAAAGCAAGCAGAAATTTAGAAGCAGTACAGCGAAAACGGGACAAACGAGTAAGAGCATAATTAGATTTGGTTTACTACTGAGCATTTATAACTCACCCCGTTGCTTTCCTTATTTTTTCAAGTAGTATGTAGTGGTCGGGAGACGTCAAGCAGGCGAGATGATTGCACAACTATCTCGGTGAAGAAATTATGTGATTTATTATGTGAGAAATAATCTTTGTGTAATAGTATGTTATAACTGGATTAAGGATAAAAATTTTAGACGAACACCGTTTTTAAATTAGCAATTCTCTGGATTCTCTCTGTAATACTCAGTGAATACTTGCCTAGTAAGACATTACGGTTATATCATTAGTGTTGCACAAATTCAAGGTAAGTAAATCCAATTTTAGTTTTGATTTGAGCAATAATTGTGTAGATTGATTCTTGTATGTTTGTATGCGATTGTATGGTGAGAATTATTAGCTGTTTTAATGTTGAATGATGTGTAAAATTCCAACCATGAGAAGTAATTCATGCGTATGTGGTGATTTGGTGGAATTATGGATGAAATATGGAAGAATTGTTGATGAAATTTTGAAGTGTTGAATCCGGCCATATTTGAAGTTAAATTTAGTGAGTTTTTGCTCCAATTTTGATGGATTTGGAGAGATTTAGAAGTATGACCAACTAAGTATTTGCATGTGCATATGAATTGTTTGATGAAAATTCAAAGGGAAATGCATGCATAAGTTTGTTAAATCTTATTGAGAAATTGTTAGAGAAAAGAAAGAATTGGAGTTGAAAGGTTATGTTAGGCTTGACCAAGTGTAAATTTTAGTATTCAAGACTGCATTTTGTTATGCTAAAATTTAAAATATCACTTGATCATTTTAGTTCAATAAGATAAATGACTTTTAGTGCATGGTTCAAGTTACTTGAACCTTTAGTATTTCTTCAATAGTATATTTTATTTAGTTATTGAATTGGAAACTGTGAAACTTATGACTTTGGGAAAGTGTTAGAAGGGATTTACATGTTAAATTGTTACTTTGATATGGCATTGTTGATAGTAGAGAATGAAAGATTATGTCATGACATATCAATATGTCATAATAAATTCTCAAGTTTGTGTACTTGAATTTAGAAAGATCATCCAAATAATGGCTTGGCCGAATGAGTATATTGTTATTTCTTGTTTTGAGATTAATTACAAATAATATGTAATAAGTGATTTTATTGTATAAAGAATATAAAAGTTTTCCCAAGTATAGATATCAAAAGAAACATCAAAGAAATAAAAGTTTGGTTTATGTATTAAATACATGATCATTTTAGAAGTTGATTGGTATGAGTATAGTTTTCATGCCTTATTATCTATTACAAGTTATAGAATTGTGCTAGAAGATCTTGATAATAGGTTGTATTGGCCAAAAGTTTAGTTAAGAATGTTAGAAAGAAATTAGAATTTAGCCAAAGTATATATGTTGTGCCATATGTTATATTGATTTTATAATGATTAATACGACAATATAGATTAATGTATAGAATGTAGCCAAAAGAAAAGAGTATGTATAACAATTGAAGTTGATGGTCATATAAGAGAATACAAATTTATGGCATTAAGATTTGTATTTAGAAAGTTGTACAAGGCATGTTTGTTACATTAGAAAAATATTAGAGAGTTGTTTAATGATATGGTTATGAGACATATAAGTTTGAAAAAAACTAGTAGTATAATTGGGCAAGTTAGTAGACTTAATACCTAAGTTGTGGCATAGATTTTTATAGAAGAAATTAGATTGCCCAAAATATAGAATTCATTCCCTAGTTGAATTGTGTCGTTTTAATATCTTACTAATGGAATTATAGAAGAGTAAAATTTGTGAGAGTTAATGTACTTGTGTATGTATACATTTTACATAGCATGATAGAATTGAAGAATTACAGAATTATGTAGAAATTATAGAATCGCGTATGTACGCACGATGCATAGAATTCAAAAATAAAGAATAAAATAGAAAATGTTTAAGTTAAGTATGTTATTAGAATAGAACTTTGGGCTTTCCAGAAAAGTATAGAAATAAAAGCCTCAGGATTAATAGAATACATTTGATAATTATTAGAAATGTCTTGCTGGTTATTTTGCAGATTTACAGAGCATGTTTTCATAGGGCTGTTGCGATGGGGAACCTGTGAGCATTTGTTGCGTTAGCTAGTAGCGACAGAGATGCAGAAGTTTCCCACATGCACGCTGCCATCAGTGAGCGGCCTCAGAATAGAAAACAGAATTGTAAAGTCTGCTAAAAGTGCATGTGGATGAGGACTGCACCCAGAAAGAATTTCAGAATACACTCACACGGCCAGGGTTCCAAATCCATGCCTCAACCTAGTCCGATCGACAAACCAGAACAGAAAGCAGAAAGAGTTTCAGAAAGAAAGAAAAATAGAATAAGAAACAGAAAACAGAAAGAGTTTAAAAAAGAAAGAAAGATAGAATAAGAAACATAAAATAGAAAGAATTTCAGAAAGAAAGAAAAATGGAATAAGAAATAGAAAATAGAAAGAATTTCAAAAAGAAAACAAAAGAATTAGAAAAGAATTTTAAAAAAGAATACAAACATAATCATTTGCATATGCATCAGATATTTTATGTGCATTGCATCTTATGCATTTATGCATAGATTAAACAGTTTATTTATTATTGCGTGTCTGACTAGCCAAGAAAAAGAAAATAGAAACCCATGAAAATAGAGAAGAAAAGAAAATAGAAACCCATGAGAATAGAGAAGAAAAGAAAATAGAAGCCTACGAGAATAAAAAAGAAATTAGAGATATACAAGAACAGAACATAAATTAGATACATGCTAGAAAAGAATAGAAATTAGAAACATGATAAATAATAAGGAAACTTAACGATTTGTTGAGTAGAGAAAGAAACAGAAAGTTATAATCTAGCAAAGAAGAGAAATAAAATGATAAAGAATAGCACAGCGCTAGAAGGATTTAGAAAGACTTGAGAAAAATAGAAGACTGCTAAGTAGTACGTCTGAGAATAAAGAGAGAAAGCAAGCAGAAATTTAGAAGCAGTACAGCGAAAACGGGGACAACGGAGTAAGAGCATAATTAGATTTGGTTTACTTACTGAGCATTTATAACTCACCCCGTTGCTTTCCTTATTTTTTCAAGTATTAGATTGTAGTGGTCGGGAGACGTCAAGCAGGCGAGATGATTGCACAAACTATCTCGGTGAAGAAATTTAATGTGGATTTATATATGTGAGAAATAATCTTTGTGTAATAGTATGTTATAACTGGATTAAGGATAAAAATTTTAGACGAACACCGTTTTTAAATTAGCAATTCTCTGGATTCTCTCTGTAGGATACTCAGTGAATACTTGCCTAGTAAGACATTACAATGTTATACTATTAATTGGTCACAGGAGCTCTTTGAACAAAAAGTCTTGCAATACATATAGGTGAATGGTAGCATAATTTAGTAATAAACAATGAAAAAGTTAATTTGTATGGAATAATTTAGAATCAAAAGTAGTAATTACAGTTGATGCCCTTTCCTTGCCATATTAGGTATTCAAGTTGGTTGAATAAATTTTTTAACTCTTTTCTTGTAGGTTTCTGGTTGAAGTTGGGGCATTACTTCTGTTGGATGATAAAGATTCTAGTCTTCCTTCAAAATATATATATATATATATATATGAGAAGGTTGCAGAGGAGAAGACTGGATGTTCTTTTTTGATGTTTATAGGTACCTAAAATCTCTTGGTTACATAGTGGGGCGGCATGGTGTACCTTGGACTATGAAGATTACCGAAAAAATGTTGACTTCATCAGTGAATCTCAAAAAAGAAATGAAAATATGGATCTGGAATCAAAGAAAGACAGTTTTATTATTGATTTATTAAATAATTTACTGATTAAAGAAATGGGGCCAGTTTTCGATGTTTATCTTCCAAACACAAGGTTTAAAAAGTGTTGTCCTGGTGATCCAAGCTTTGTGCTACACTTAACAAGGTAATTCTTAAAGAGTTTGAATGAGTGTTTCAGAAGTGGTGGATGAATGAGAATTCTTTTGAGCCAATCTGTCGTTGATTTTGTTAGATGGGTTTAAAAAAGAAATGTGTCCACAATATAACGTGCACTATTGTTACTCTCATATATGTTCTATTTAGTTTATTCACTGATTTCTTATAGAAGGATATCTAGAGATTTATTGATTAATATGTTTGATTTGTCCAATCATTTTTAATCTTCTCATTCACTTGCCTTCTCTTTTAGGAAAGCCGAAGTTGAAGTTCTTGAGAGACAATGTGACAGCATTCCACTGAAGTTTTGTCATACTCATGGTCGTGCCAGTGCCAGTTTCTTTTCCTTTGATACGGTGAAGCCTCCCATTTTACCTTAACTTTCCATCTCAATTGGATGTTGCTGTTGTCCTTAGAATTTGTACATATCGATGGCTATTCCTATTGTGGATCTGACTGGCATTTGCCACAGTTTCACTACAGCTATTTTGATCACCTATAACATAGGTGAAATTTCTTCTCTTCATGTAGTTAATTAATATAAATGAATACAAGCTTGGAGCACAGAGAAGATATTTATTAGACTCCTTACATCTTTTGGATCACCCTTATATTTTTTATTTTATCATAAATATATTTTAGGAAAAGAAAATCAATTAGTCGGATATTTCAAAAATTTTCTGCTAATTTAAAGCTTGTTTGGTTGGACTTATCTACTAGTTAAAAGAGTTTATTTAAAACCATAAGTACTTTTAAAAAAAAATTCGATTGGTTGGTTACATTTAGAAAACACTTATAAAATTTAAAATAAGCTATTTTATAACTTATGGAAGAAACTCAAAATTTTAGCTTTTTCTCGTAAGCTCTTTTATCAAGTGTTGAAATTTTAAAAATATCCTTATTATATTCTATAAAGTAAACTTGATTTATTCTTGTTTATTAAAACCCTCTTTGGTAAATTAACTCTAAAATACCTTTTTACATTATTTTATATATATATATATCAATTACTGTTCATGCGATTCCATCTCATTATATATATGAAATAATTTATAAGCATATATTATTTCATATCTTCAGGAAACAGTATCAGGGAAAATGATATAAACGTTCATGGTTTATTCATGATTCATACAATGTTTATATTATGATTTGATATAAATAGGTTAGATTTAGAATGTAGGTTGTTTTTATTGTTATTGTATTATGATTCGACTAAAAATTGGATTAGAAATCATTATTTATGTTTAGAATGAGAGTAATACTACATATACATCATTTTCATACAACATTTTTTATACAATATTATGTAACAAATTATGAATAATTAATTTAAAACATTATGTGACAAGTTATGATTGACTAATTTAAAGTTAAAATTAAACTTTAACTCAATCATATTTTATCACATAATATTGTATGTGTAGTATTATTCTTAGAATGATCAATTGTAAGGCTCGTGATAATAAACCTTTATAAAATCATCTTTACTAATTACATTACAGATTACTTTAGATGAGATTTTTGACATTGCTTGGAGTTTGAATTTAAAGATTTTAATCCATGGGCCGATGGCAGGGAGTGCAGGCTCAGATCCAAAAAGCCCCAATAAAATAAAACCCTTCATCTGGATCAGGCTCAAGTTCCCTCTTTCCCTCCACAAATTTTCAGGACAATTACCTAAACACCCCGAGGTTTTTATCTTCTAAACCCCTGGGGTATCAAGAATGACCCCTAAACCCCCTGCCGTCATACAAACATTATCGACGTTGTAATCTGGAATGGCAAAGGATTGAATACCTATATTACCCTCCTCCATGAAGATAATTACACTTAAAATAAAAAGTACTAATTTTTTTTAACTTAAATGTCTCCACCTCATATCTCAAATCTTCTCCAACTCAAAAATAAAAATATAAAACTAAAAAAGGGAAGAACAAAAAATCCTTAAAATGTTACAGGTCTAACTACGGTTGCGTTACTGTGCTAGGTAATAGGGATGGCAACCACAAAGCACCAACCCACCTCCACCAAAACAAACCATTCACCCCACAAAACCTGGCAACAGCCTCCAAACACCAACCCACCACCAAAACAAACCATCCACTTAAATCAATGAAAAAAAATAAAGATCAACAAACCTAGCATGTAAAACACAAATCTCAGTAGACATCAACTCATCGCCACTAAACTTCAATGCAAATCAATGTGTAAAAACTCAACAACTTATTAACCCAAATCAACCCATCCAATTGTTACTCAAGTCAACAATAAACCGTAATATTCAAATCCCAAAATTGAACAAATGATGAAGAAAATTCGTAAGCTGAGGAGGTGAGAAGATTGAATAAGGTTGGTGGGAAATTAAAACGGCAACCTTGCGTGGCCACCGTTGAGACCTCATACAACGGCACTCTCACGGCCGGGACTTATAGCGGTTGATCAAGGCTGCAACCAGCTATGGATTGAGGTGGTGGTGGCGATAGATTGGGCCCTGGCTTGATGCCATGGGGTTCTATATTTGATTTTTTATTTCATATCCTAGTATGGTAGTGAGAAGTCTTTGCCGATGATGAGAGTTTTTCCTGGTGGTGATGTTTGGAGAGGGAGGGGTGGGGCGCCAATTGATGGGTTGTTTTTTTTTTTTTGTTTGTTTGTTGGTTTTATATATATATTATTTTATTATAAGTATTATTATTATTATAAAAATAAGAATGTATTTATTCTTTTACCCTCATTAAGTTTAAACCCAAATATTTTACTTATTTAGAGATATTTGATATGCATTTACCCTTTTACCCTTCATTTTTCTTATTTAACCCGGGCTTTGTAACGTTTGCACATCGGTGAGGGGTTTAGAGTCATTCCTGATACCCCATGGGGTTTAAAAATCTAGGAGAAACCTTGGGGAGTTTACTGTTATTATCCCATAAATCAACTATTACAAGCCCTACCTCAATTTTTTTTCCCGCCATTTCAAAGTTTCCCTCGCGGTGTCGGCAACAGATTTTTTGTTCTCTCGACGATTTGGTTGACTTGCCCGCAATTGTAATTTTTTCAGCGGTTCGAAAGTTGATAATTTGATTATCTTATCTGAAGCAGTGAGTAACTTTGTTGTTTGATTATTAGGTTTAGTAATTAAACATGACAAAAGAGCAAATCGAGAATGGGGGAGAAGAAATGTTGATCGACGTTCATGATCAAGAAGCTTTTATTCCTGACGGCTTCAATGCTAATTACCTCAAAGTTTATTACGGTAATTTTTATGTAATTCGGTCGTATTAGCTGCGTTTTGATATATTTATTTTTTATTCATTATTCTGTTAATAGTCCTCATGTATTTCGAGTTATTTTGAAATTTCATGATGGCTATTTATTTCAATTTACTGAGTTTTTGTTGATTTATTTAAAAGAGAGAGAGAGAGAAGGGAACTCGATTTTTGTTTTGACGTGAAATGACATTTACATGGTGGCAGGAAGGCTTTTTCCTCATGCTGATATCTTCAAGTGGATGTCCTATGGAAACGGTAGGTCGAATCTCCTATTAAATCTGATTTTCTCTTTCTCTTGCATCCTTATGCACTCACTGGCACGTACAAACTGCAAACTAGTAGTTATTTCATATGTGATTTTTCCACTTAATTGCTAGATGGGAAGCATCCTGGCTGTGACAACTCCTACTTCGGCCGAAGAGAATTTTCTTTCACTCTGGATAATGATATTTATCTGCGTTTCCAGTCTTTCAACAGTGCTTCTGAGCTGGAAAATGCCATTAAAGAAAAGTGTCCATTTAAAATAGATATTGGGCCTGTCTACAGTGTAGATGTAAGATCTTCTTGTTTATAATTACATTGGAATTATGGTGTTTCTTTAATTTGCTTTTGTTTTCATACTTACAATGTATCTGTCTTATGTAACTAAGTAATTCATATTACTTTTCTTGTTGATTCACTTGTTCTCCATGCTCAGACTGTAATTTTCAAATCTAACTGTAATTTTCAAGCTTGAAATACACAATTCCAATCTTCCCTTAATCCTGGAGTTGGTGTTCGTCCATGGTGTTATTCAGCGCACCAGAAAAAATGGATTAAATGCTGAAATTCCTCTATATCATTTCTCAAGTTTTAATTGTTACAAATATCAATCTCGGTTTAGCCTTTTGTCGTTGATATGAATTTCTCTGACCTCTATTTACTGCAGCCTGCTAAGAGGCATGCCTATGCACAAGGTGGTGATAATAATGTTTTTTCTCCTGTGGAGAGGGAACTTATTTTTGATATTGTAAGCTACTTGACTTATTGTTGGCAACTATCTCATTATTATACTGTAAATGCTTCACTAGTTGACATGTTTAACTTACATCTTCCTCCCAGGACATATCAGACTACGATGATGTTAGATATTGCTGCTCAGGTGCTGATGTATGCTTGCAGTGCTGGCCTCTAATGACTGCTGCTATTAAAGTGATTGATACTGCCCTCAGAGGTAAGAGTACCATCTATTGGTGCACAATGTTTTCTTCTGATAATCTGCTGTATGTTAGCTCATGCAGGCATCATGTAACTAAGTGAGCATAGATACATAAGCCCTATAATAGTTACTATCTATTGGTAAAACGTACAGGATTGCCATATTAAGAAGAAGCACAATGCCAGAAAGTTACTCCCGTTATCAACAAAATATCTACTATTTGAGCCCCTTTATCTTTTGTCATCCTCAGTAGTTGCTGCTGTGCTAACATTATTTTTTTAGGTGGAGTTTAATACATTATATGCATGTGATGTAAAATGCAGACTATACTATTGGAAAAAAAGTTATAAATTTTAGTTCAAAATTTACATATAATGGATGTCTTCTTGGTTCATGTATCATACAGTTCATATGCTCCATGTATTGCCACATTGTCTATTTTCTGGAGCTTCATAGCTATATTTAAATTACATATGCTGTGATATCAAATAACTAAAGCAGATTCAGTCTCTTTCTTTTGCATCTTTATGCTCTTTTATGGGCTAGGTTCACAATGATCATGTACATTAACATGTGTGTCATATATATGAGCATATACACTTGGTTGAGAATAATGTAACGTATTCCTGGTTTTGATACCTGTCCATTAAATTTTATGGTGCAGATGATTTTGGTTTTAGTCATATTCTTTGGGTGTACAGTGGGCGCCGTGGCGTTCATTGTTGGGTTTGTGATGGAAAAGCAAGAAGGTAATACCATAAAGAGTTGAGTTATGTTTTCTTTTACTCACATTTATGTGTCATGAGGCAAAAAAAATTCAATTGTACTGCCATCATTCTGTAGGTTGACAAATGAACAGAGGGGAGCTGTTGCTGACTATTTTCGTGTATACAAGGTGCCATATCCTGTTCTGAGATAAAATTGGAATTGTGGGAGACCTTTGTTAGCATTATGATTGATGTTGTTGATTCTACAATATGTTCAGGGCAATGAAAATAGTAATAAGAAGGTTTCTCTGCCGGGTCCTGTACTTCATCCTTTCCTAGCGTAAGTGTTGATACATTATATGTGTTTCTTATTTTGATCCATTGTTTAATCTACTAAGACACCCTAGCTCTGCAGGAGATCTTATACTGACATTCTTAGGGAATTCTTCAAGGAAAAACTGCTTTCAAGTCAACAAATATTTTCAACTGAGGAGAGATATGAGAAGATTCTAAGCATGATTCCTGATGAATGTATACTACAGATATTATATTCTTTTTGCCCCAACCTCCTTTTCTCTTACACGAAAAGGTCTGCCATTTCCTTTAATAACTGGTGCTTATAAACTTATGTTTGCAGCTGTTACCTCTGAGCTTCGAGGGAAGTGGCAGGAGAATAGGCGATCCTCCAATGACATCAATGTTTCTCGGTGGGAGCTGCTAAAGCATATGCTGCAATCAGGAAAAAATAAGGTTGAATTGCCACATGTGACACAAATGTTGATATTAAATATTTCTTTCTTCTGGTTTTTGGCACCTGCCTTCAGCATGCCTTCCATGAGTAATAGAAGAAAATTAACATGTACCTGGAGTGACCATAAGATCAAGATATGATAAATCAGAGTTGATCAAAGGAAATTTATGAACATAAATAAAAATCTCTTATAGTCTCACTTTCACATCTTGAAAATGATTAGTTCATGCATATCATCATACGGATGTCTGGGAAGTTCTTATATACTTTATATAAACAGTGTATCATTTTGCAAATTGTGCTTTTACTAACAGAATATGAAATTGTGTCAGGCACAAGGGCTGCGCAGATGTGTTGAAGAGATTGTGTTTGCCTTTACCTACCCTAGGCTTGATATGGAGGTTTGTTCATCACCTGTCCATTCTTTTCTTTTCTCTCCTGGCTTCAACACTTGCTGTCAGTTATACACTTTGCAAAAATATGTATGTGAATTCTTCAGGCTGGACTCATCTGTGTATATGTGTTAGGTATCAAAACACATGAACCATTTATTGAAAGCTCCATTTTGTGTACATCCAAAAACAGGTCAGTGCCCTAAAATGTTATAACAAATGTCGGCTATATGTATTTTGAAATTTTGACCAAAGTCAAGTCATATGCTGTGGCAAAAAATATGAAGAATTAAATTTTGTTTCTAACGCCAAAACTTTTCAAAGCTAATTGAAGTAGTGTTAGTTTACCAAAAATTAGTGTTCAATTATGTTTACATTATGAAATTTAGATATTAATCTTCATTGTATTGACTGTTGTAATTAATTTCTCCTTGTTCCAGGTCGTGTCTGTATTCCTATTGACCCACAAAATTGTGATGAATTTGATCCTACTACAGTACCAATGCTGTCTGAGGTAAGCATGTATATGGCTGATGATTTTTTATTAATCTGTGTGACTTCTTGCTCAGAGGAGGTTGTTCCTAGTTAAAAAAATTCCTCATATTTACAAAGACTAGATGTGCTAGAAAAATATGGGATGGTCAGAATCAGAAATATCTTGCTGCACCATGGATTATAGCATATTTGTATTGAAGGAATTTGCCCTTTTCATTCATTCTTTCTTATTTTTTAAATGATGAACTGTTATCTGCTTTTTTATGAATTGGCAGCTTTTACAAGAACTTAACACAGGATGTTTAAGAGCCGATGTTGGGAATGGTATGTTAATTTGAAAGTACAACATTGCAGTGCTTCTTATAACTGTCAACTTTTTGTCATTGTAGTTATGGAATAACCATTTTTTTTTTTTTTTTTTTTTTTNTTACTAACAGAATATGAAATTGTGTCAGGCACAAGGGCTGCGCAGATGTGTCGAAGAGATTGTGTTTGCCTTTACCTACCCTAGGCTTGATATGGAGGTTTGTTCATCACCTGTCCATTCTTTTCTTTTCTCTCCTGGCTTCAACACTTGCTGTCAGTTATACACTTTGCAAAAATATGTATGTGAATTCTTCAGGCTGGACTCATTTGTGTATATGTGTTAGGTATCAAAACACATGAACCATTTATTGAAAGCTCCATTTTGTGTACATCCAAAAACAGGTCAGTGCCCTAAAATGTTATAACAAATGTCGGCTATATGTATTTTGAAATTTTGACCAAAGTCAAGTCATATGCTGTGGCAAAAAATATGAAGAATTAAATTTTGTTTCTAACGCCAAAACTTTTCAAAGCTAATTGAAGTAGTGTTAGTTTACCAAAAATTAGTGTTCAATTATGTTTACATTATGAAATTTAGATATTAATCTTCATTGTATTGACTGTTGTAATTAATTTCTCCTTGTTCCAGGTCGTGTCTGTATTCCTATTGACCCACAAAATTGTGATGAATTTGATCCTACTACAGTACCAACGCTGTCTGAGGTAAGCATGTATATGACTGATGATTTTTTATTAATCTGTGTGACTTCTTGCTCAGGGGAGGTTGTTCCTAGTTAAAAAAATTCCTCATATTTACAAAGACTAGATGTGCTAGAAAATATGGGATGATCAGAATCAGAAATACCTTGCTGCACCATGGATTATAGCATATTTGTCTTGAAGGAATTTGCCCTTTTCATTCATTCTTTCTTATTTTTTAAATGATGAACTGTTATCTGCTTTTTTATGAATTGGCAGCTTTTACAAGAACTTAACACAGGATGTTTAAGAGCCGATGTTGAGAATGGTATGTTAATTTGAAAGTAGAACATTGCGGTGCTTCTTATAACTGTCAACTTTTTGTCATTGTAGTTATGGAATAACCATTTTTTTTTTTCGTCCAAGCAGTTTTTTTAGTGATTCATAGAGACAGTATAGTAAAAATAAGGCCATATTGTGATTCAGTTTGGGCAGTCAAATAATTTTAGGAGTGACAGATGTGATTTTGTTATCAGATCCATTCAACTTTTTTCAAGGAAAAGCTGCTGGACTATCATGTTTGCATGTATGCAAAATGGAGTTTGTTTTCCTTGTGGCATTAATTCTTAAATGTTTTACTTGGTGGCAGAATGGGAGAAAACCACACTTGGGAAATCAATCATGTATTTCAGATCATCATTCTTGCAGCCTCTGCTAAAATCTTGCAAGGTAAATTTTGTTTGAAGCCTGTTCCAAAAAAAATTCTGTAAATTTTCTGGTAATGATAAATGGGTAATTGATAAAACCAATCACTTTTTTGTTGAAAGAATGTATCCTTTGATCGAGTTAACCAATAAGCTAGCAACAATTCAAGAAAAATACAGAATTTAACTTGGCAATTCATGATTGTTGCAGGAGGAGATTGAAAGTTCCTATAATGCTAAACTTCAGCAAACTAAGAATTCTTTGAATTGGTAGTGCTTTCAACATTTCACCTTCATTTATACGTTCAATAGAGATCCTCTAGCATTACCTTTACCATTTCGTGCACTGTAAGTCAATATGGTCACAGTGGAGCTTAGCAACTATTTGTAAATTTCAGCTACATGTTTAATACTCAAATCTGGGTTTAGTGCTCATTTGACATCCTACTTAATGCTGCGAAGGGCAACGCTAACCTATGTAACATTATTCCTGTCATCAGTTGCGAGTGATCATATTGATGACTGAAAATTATGGCATTTTTTCATCAATGTTTATGGGCTTTGTATCAGTAGATAAACATTCTTTATTCCTCTTATTTTATAGGATGCTCAATGTATTTAATGTTTCTCCCCTAAGATAACTGATTGAAAATATTCCAAGGGTGTGTTTGGTTGGGGGTTATATGAGATTATTGAGATAATGTCGTCTTAGATTACTTGATTACCACGTTTGGTTGTCAATTAATATAAGATTCTGATAACTTCTAATGCCAATAGTAATTATTGTTGGTAATATAGGAGGTAATCTTATTATCTTTATTTTTTTAGGTATTTTAAGATTACTTAGTTATCTTATTTTTGTTATAATTTTATTCTTTATTAATAAAATTTTAGGACAATAATACCCTTGTTTTAAAAACAATTTACAAAAATACCAATAGATTATTTTATCCTTATATACAAAGTTTTTAAGACATAAATACCTTTAAAATTATACAAAATTACCCAAGGGTGGTGGTTGGATCTGGCCACCACTGCCAGTCGTTGGAAACCATAGCAGGCGACGACAGAATGGCGTACGATTGACCATATCTGGTCAGTTGTGCATCGATAAGCCTGTTTTCGACCATGGATCTTTGATCCATTGTTGGAAACAGTTAGATCTAGCTTTTATGGCCAAATATGTGGTCGTGAAACAACCACAGATCTGGTCGTTAAAGGCCAGATATTTAAAACAAACGGTCATATCAGGCCAGATCTGGCTCAGATCTATTCTGGCCATTTCCAACCAGAGCGATGGATCTGGTTGTTAACAACCAGAGTGATGGATCTAGCTGTTAACGACCAGATCCCTGGCCATTATCGGCCAAATCTGGGCGAGATCTAGCCAGAAATGATCAGAATAGTTCTGGCCATTTCCGGCCTGATATGACCATTTTCAGCCATCAATATGGCCGAAAACGGCCATATCGAAGCCTCCCAGTGAATCTCGATCATTTTTAGGGACTCTGACGACTCTCCGGCAGCGGTCCGTGGTGGTTGGCCCGCTGTCGGTGATGGTGGCTGGGTGGTGGTGATGGTTTGTAATTTGTTTTAAATATAAGGACATTATTGTTAAAAAACTTAATTAAACAAAGATAACATTGAAATGGTATATTAATGTAAATCTATTTTAAAACAAAGGCAATATTGTTCAAAATTTTTATTAATAAGGGATATAATTGTAACAAAAATAAGATTGCCAAGGTAATCTTACAATACTTAAGAAAATTGAGGTAATCAAATTACTTCAAATATTACCAACAGTAACAATTATTGGTAATGCAAGATTGCTAAAATTTTATATTATTTGACAATCAAACATGATAATTAAGTAATATAAGATGACATAATCTCAATAATCTTCAATTACCTCCAACCAAACACCCTCTCAAAGTAATCTATCTTTTCATTAATATAATATTCTGTGAATCAAATGCACCCTGAGAGTTTTTTTTAAAGACTAATGATCGGTGTTGATATAGTGAAATAACGAGGGAATTTTAGTAGCAGCAAATGCGAGAATGACATGTTTAGGTAGAAATATTTTTGTTTTAAACAAATATTGTCCTTAAAATTATCAGTAAAAAAAGTAGGTCAAAATGGAAAACAGGGAACTAAAAACTCTCTTTTCCTTGCAAAAAGAAATGCAAGAGTAACCAAAATTTGTGAAAAACTAGAAATGGGTTACACTATAATCTTATTAAATGAGGCTCAAACTTAAAGAATTGTTGGGTAAAGAAACATGGAAAGATGAGACTTGGAAATTGGGAAGGGGAAATCATAAGAAAAGTAGAATGGGAGAACCAGAAACGTTACGAGCTTTTGGGAGTAGAGAAGAAGATTTAGATTTTTTCTTTCAAAGCTTGAGTTGCCACTATTTATAACAGCAAAGTAAAACACTTTCCATGCTCCTTTGTCCCAAGATACTTCGAACTTCAGCTAAAGTTACTAGAAGCTCTCTCTGCATAAAGACTACCTCACATTCTTTTCAATGGAAGCTTGTCTAGAAGACTAGAAGTAATTGCTTGTTATGCAACGAAAACATAAACTCTAACGCTAACTATTGAATATAATAATAACAAGTAGTAAAGCATAAATAAATAGTCAAAATTAAATGCAAAAATAAAAAATACGAGGAATTAAAGAGGTTCGGTATTGTAACCTACGTCCTCGGGCGCTGAAAAAGAAAACTCAATTATCTCCAAAACAATATTACAAACTTTTGGGCAATACAACAAATACCAAAAACAAATGGGAAATACTACAAAACTTTTCAACTAAAGGGTCCTTAATGAAAAAACCCTATACAAGAGAAGTGTAATGGAAATACAACTTGGGATCCAAATAACAATGACTTGGGTCCTTATATATAGGCCCCAAAAGTTTCCCAATTTTCATTCCTAAGCAATGTGGGACAAACTAATCTTTTGGCCTATTACATATAAATCCCTAAACCTTTCTCCATTATTACTTTTACCCCATGTGATTTTGCTAAATGAGCTATTTTTCCAACAAATCTCCACCTTGGCGAATTAGCAAACCTTCAAAGTTTTGTATTCTTTTGTCAAATTTTGCAACACATTCAAATGCGCCAAAAGGCACAGTCAAGCTCGCAGGATGTTGATCAAGTTCAAACAGTGATTGAACTTGATCATTGTCACTACTTTCGTTAAAATATCTACAGGATTCTCAGCAGTCCCAATCTTCTCTAATGAGATTCTTCCTTCAGTAATGATTTCCCGCACAAAGTGGTAATGAACATCTATATGCTTGGTGCGAAAGTGGAATATTGGATTCTTTGCTAAGTGATTAGCACTCTGACTGTCAGAATAGATAGTGATCTTCTTCTGACTAATTTTCAATTCATCCAATAGCCCTTGTAACCAAATAGCTTCCTTTACAACCTCTGTAACTGCCATATATTCTGCCTCTGTAGTAGACAAAGCAATTGTAGACTGCAAAGAAGATTTCTAACTTACTAGAGCTCTAGCAAAAGTAAATACATATCCAGTAGTTGACCGACGCTTGTCCAAATCACTAGCATAATCAGAATTAACACAGCCAATAGTAAATTGACTAAGATTTTCATCCCGCTCAAAAACCAAACCAATGTTTACAGTACCTATAATATACCGTAAAATCCACTTCACAGCTTGCCAATGTCCTTTACCAGGATTATGCATATACCTGCTCACAATTCCACTTGCATGTGAAATGTCGGGCCTATTACCACCATTGAATACATCAAGCTACCAACCGCATTTGAATACAGAACTTTTGACATATACTCTCATTTTTCATGTGTACTTGGAGATAATGATGCACTAAGCTTTATATGAGGAGCAATTGGAGTACTTACAGGTTTTGTACTTTCAATTATGCCAAAACATTGTAAGACCTTCTTTAGATACTGCTTTTGTGTCAAACAAACCTTGCCATTTCCTCTGTCTCTAATTATCTCCATACCGAGAATCTTCTTGGCTTCCCCTAAATCCTTTATCTCAAATTCTTGATTTAGTTGAGCCTTTAACTTCTCAATTTCTTCTACGTTCTTTGAAGCAATCAACATATCATTAACATATAAGAGTAGATAAATGAGAGTATCACCTCGTAGCCTTTGAAAATACACACAGTTGTCAAATTTGTTTCTTGTGTACTTCTGACCCATCATTAACCTATCAAATCGCTTGTACCACTGCCTCGGAGATTGTTTCAAACCATAAAGCGATCTTTTCAGTTTACAAACCCAATCTTCCTTCCCAATAATCCTAAATCCTTCTGGCCGAGTCATATAGATTTCCTCTTCCAAATCACCATGTAGAAACGCGGTTTTTACATCAAGTTGAACTAGTTCAAGATTCATTTGAGCAACCAAGGCCAACAAAATTCTAATGGAAGAATACTTTACAATTGGAGAAAATACCTCATTGAAATCTATTCCTTCCTTTTGAGCATAGCCTTTCGCCACCAACCTTGCCTTGTATCGGATGTCTTTCAAATTCGGAAATCTTTTTTTCTTTGCATATACCCATTTGCATCCAATTGTCTTCTTATTCTTTGGTAATTGAACTACCTCCCAAGTTTCATTCTTATGGAGAGATTGCATCTCTTCTTTCATGGCTTTCTTCCACTTACAATTTTCGGAACTGCTAACTACTTCATTATAAGTGGAAGGAACTTCACCATCTTCAATTGGGCCACCGTATCAGTAAAACGAGCAGGCTTGCGAATTTCTCGTCTTGGCCTATTAACGACAATAGATTCTTGTTGAGGTTCTTGGGAAGAATCGTCTTCTTCATCTCCAATAAACTCTTCTATCATAAGAGTCTCATTTCTAGTTGGGCTAACTGATATTGTTTTAAACTCCACATGCTGCTGAGTATGCTCTACTTGCTGCGGAGTACTAATAACCTTCATCTGACTTCCTATTTTCTTTTCTAACATAGAAGACTCATCAAATGTCACATCCCTATTAAACAGTATTTTCTTTGAACTTGGACACCAAAGACGGTATCCTTTCACACTTGAGGTAATCCCCATGAATACTACTTTCTTTGCTCTAGGATCTAACTTAGACTCTTTCACATGATAATAAGTAGTGGAACCAAAAACATGTAAAGAGTCATAATCAGAAACAAGTTTTCCATACCATACCTCAACCGGCGTCTTGCCTTCAATTGCAGTTGACGGTAGATGATTAATGAAATGACACGCATATATAACTGCCTCAGCCCAAAACTCTTTGCCCAACCTAGAATTGAACAACATACATCTAACTTTCTCCATATAGTTCGATTCATGCGTTCTGCCACCCCATTCTGCTGTGGTGTATTTCTTATTGTAAAGTGATGTACTATATCTTCATCTTGGCAAACTTTCAAAAACAGATCACTACAATACTCCCCACCATTATCTGTACGTAGTTGCTTGATCTTCCTACCAGTCTGAGTCTCAATCATCTTTTTCCATTTAAGGAAAACACCAAGTACATCATCTTTAGTTTTTATCACATATACTTAAACTCTTCTGGAAAAATCATCTAT